TATGTTAAAACTGCCTTCATGTTAAAGTTTGAAATATAGGTGGTAAACTTCAGTATGAGATTTATTGACTTTAGACAAGTAATTCATCTAGAATGAATTCATCAGTGTTCAGGGATGGAAAGAAAAAAGGAAGGAAGGAAGGAGGGAGGGAGGGAAGGAAGGAAGAAAGGAAGGAAGGAAGGGGAAAAGAGAGAGAAAGAAGGGGTAGGGGAGAGAAAAGAAAAAAAGAGAAGGAGAAGGAAGGAGAGGGAAAGGGGCAAGACAAGGGAGGACAAGAACAGAAACTAAAGCACTGAATTAATTTTGTGAGAAAAGAGCCTGACCTGGCACTTTTAGTATTATTCCAAGAAAGGAGTTCTTAGCAAGAGTTTTGCATGATCCTGTGCCGGAAAGAACAAGCACATGTGAAAGAAATAGAGCTTCCTGGGCTTATGCTCAGAAGGGCACAAGGCAGTGAGATATGTCTCGGAAAGCAATGAGCATCTGTCGAACTGACACATGGAAGATTTCTAAGACAGGCTTAGAATGATGACAGCAAAGATTTTAGGAGTTGATTCATAGTCAGTGCAAGGAAATACCACCATAATGACGGTAGCTGCTACCAAGGGCCAAGTGAAGAGTTTCATACAAAATTGCTTCTAGCTAGGCCAGCCAACTAATGGTCTAAGTTGTCAAGGAAAGTGATGGGGAAGTCAAGGAGACAAATGCAACCGTGTATCTAACTTGGTGGAAGAAACAATGTAAAAGATCAGAGAAAGAAAGTATAAGAATCACTTAATTGCAGTATTCACTTAGATTTTGTAATCTAATGGTTCATTTCATGATCTTATGGAATGGATTTAAGTGTAAGCTTTGAAGTCACCAGATCAGGTCTGACTCCTGGATCTGCTACATTAAATTTATTTGATCCTTGACTCTAGCCAAGGTAATGAGTTTGATGCTAAGTTTTCTCAACTATGCAATATGAATTCCCACTGTGAATTCAATGAGTTTAGGACAAACTAAACTCTAGCACATTTGAAATAGACACATTTAGTGTAAATGCCAATGTGTTGATTCTCTAACAGATTTGCAGGTAAAGTGAAGCCTAAAAACATGACTTTAATTTACTCTTAAGAATAATGCTGCATGCTTTTTGTTCTTCTAATCATTCAATGAACTGTGCATAAATCAAGATGCACACAGGAAGGAGAAAAGTACGTTCCAATAATGACTGAAAAACTAAATGCCTGTAAGACTCAGGAAGGCAGCGTAAATGAATGCAGAGGTTTCCATGGGGCATGGGGCCAAGTGGGGAGTGTATGCCCCACCTTCAGGAGAGCTGACTCTGTGCATCTTCACTTGAGTTCTGACACGTAGGAGAGTGGGCTCACTTAAATATGATTTTTTCAATGTTAAACTTAATTAAAATTAAGAGCTCCACTCTGCCCTTTACCCACGATGTTCTGCCTCATGCCAGGCCCAGAGCAATAGACCATGAACCTCTGAAACTCTGAGCCCCAAATAAATGTTTCTTTTTTTAAAAAAAAAAAAATGATAACTAATTAAAATAATCAAATAGTGGATGTGTAGAAATATAAGTGAATAAAGAATTAGTTATATGGGTACAGGTATGTGTATTTGTGACTGCATGGATGAATTGTTCTGGACATTAGTTAAACATGGGGGGAAATAGCATACAGTTTTGAAGGATCTGGAATTTCTTCCCAAAAGCTTCTGTGTTAGGTGATGCTTTAATGTTCAGAGGTGAAAAACTGGATTATAAGAACTATGATCTCATTAGTGGAGTAACTCACTTGATGAACCAATAATTTGAATGGACTTCTCCCTGGTAACTCTAGGCTGGAGGAATCAAAACACTGAGGCCATGGTCTTAGAAACTTTCTCTTGTCCATGGCCTCTTCCTGACTCTCTATTTCTCAGTCATGAGATGAGCATCATTGCTCCTCTATGCCCTTCACTCATGATGTTCTGCCTCATGCCAGGCCCAGAGCAATGGATATGGCCAACCATGGACTGAAACCTCTGAAACTATGAGCCCCAAATAAACTTTTCTCCTCTAAGTTATTCTTGTCAGTTTTTTAGTCAAAATGATGTAAAGCTGATCATCGCAAATCAAGTAAATAAAACATATGCAGAGGTTCAAAGTCTAGGCAGACCATGAGGCATTGGGGAACCTAGCTGGGAGTTTGGAGAAGGAAGCTGTAAAGTTAAGCAGAGACCAGTTCTCATTTATTATATCAGGCGGGCTAAGGAATTTCACCTTGATCCTTAGGGCAATGACTAGTCTAGAGAGGGCATCAAGCAGGAATGGCAGAATCCAATTTACAAATTTGCAACCATTCTGACTGCAAAGTGCTAAATGAATGGCTACAGTCAGGACTGAAGGTAGGCTGCTATTGGAGGGATTAGGGTGGGAGTGAGGAGACTGTGCCAGAGTGGGACGCTGTTTATAGAAAGAAGAAGATGGATTCTGAAGTATCTGGGAGAGTAAATCTATGCTGTGAGTGAGGAGAAGAAAGGAAGATTGCAGCTGCCTTTCTGCACAGAATTTACATTTTGTAGAAGATACAAGGCTTGAACAGGTCTCTGTACATAGTAGGTGACATCACACATAATAGCTAACTTCATCAGAGGATGTAGAGAATCAACAACTACTCCGGGTCTCTGTGGGTGTGTGCAGGTGTGCCTGTGTGTTTATGATGGGGGGGGTGTCTTAAAATTATCCTGTTCTTAGACTGTATATTTGCCTCAATAAAATAAAGAGGTCTGATTCTGTATTTTTTCTCCTTTGTAAAGAATATAACAGAATCAGGTGAAACTGAAATTTAGTTCTTTGTACAGTTTAGCTGTGCTCTGTCTCCATGGGTCATTGGGTCTTGTCAGCATTTGCAAGTGAGATGATCCCTTTCTTTGGGGAGCATGCTGACCAGGTCTGTGTATTTCCAATTTCAAGGAGTGTATTCCTACCTAGCAAATCAACCTAGTCACCTTCTTCTCTATTTATATAAGTTCATTGACTAAGTCACACACAAGCAAATGTGCAATAGATCTCACATTCTCCACTCCTGATAGAAGAAAAATTATACTAACAAGATGTATGAAGAGCTATTCAAATCCACCATAGGAAGTGACTAAAAAAATCAGGAGGAAAAAAACAAAACATTTGAGTACATAAATCCTCTCTTTCTTACTCTGCACAGTCTCTGGGAAAGAAATAATGAACCTTCCTCTGTGATCTGCCCATGTGTATAATTGATTAATCTTGTGGTTAAAAGGAGATTTGCTCACCAAAATTGGGATAGACAGGGGAATGCAATTTGGGTTTCTTCTCTTGGCCTGCTTGATAATCACATATCAGAACTGAATGTACAATGGACTTTGATCATTACTTCAGAATATGAAAACAGATTTATTCCTTAGGAACATTCCATCTCAGTCTTTGGAAGCAGGCAGTGAATTTCATATTTTTATTTACTCATCTGGTAATCTGTTATGATCCAGCAAGGGGCGATCTCCTCCACTCACCCAGACTTGAAAACTCCTACATTTTTAATTATTTTCTTGCCTCCCCCATTCCCTATTCATTCCTTTAATTTATAGCTGTACCTTTTTTTTAACATCCATAATTCTTGTCTAAGATAACACATTTGAAATTCCCATCTGATCCACCTTGATGAGAACATATGCTGATCTAGTCATTTAACTAGGCCAAGATTTAATAAAATTGTAGGACGAGGGGTCAGAAATGAATGAGTTTCAGACTGGAGATCCCTGGGAGACAAAAAACAAATGTCACATAGTTGCTGCCCTTATTGTTACTCTATTAGTACATTTAGTAGACCTCAAAGATTTGAATGTGTTCTCCACTCATGCAAGTGTGTCTCCTTGAGCCCAAGGACATAGAACAAAACTCCTGTTCTATATTGGCAGGCTGGACCTCTGCCTCCTCCAGAATCTCCCCAAATTCCCAAAACCAAATAAATATCTGCTAGTGGGATTTAAATTTATTTTCTGACTTGTGATCCCATTTCACACATATTTTCTGATTTCAGAGGAAAAGGTGAATAGAATTCTGGATTTTCAGTGGGAACAAACTACTTAGAACCTTTGGGTCTGCTCCATTTTTCAATAATTTGTAAGGAGTGTACTGTGTCTGTCTGAACCCCTCAACATGTGTTCTCCACAGGAAGTTGGGGTACAAGCCTATTCTGCATTCCAGATGCCTTGTCTTCCAAATAGTAATTTGAGGATAAACTGTAAGATCAATCAGCACATAAGGACCTACAGCTTCTGGCCACTAATAAGGACCCCAGCGAAGGGATAAGAGAACAGCAATGATTGAATGCACACTGTCTTCCATGTTCTTACCTGAGGTTACTGTCAACACACAAAATAGATTAAATGGATTTCATTTTATTTTAAAGATCAAGTAGTTGAGGCTTACGTGATTTGGTGGTCATGGAGTTTTAATCTGCAGCAAGCCCCAAGTCCATTCTCTTTTCCAAATCATGAGTTGTGCTACATACGTACTGAGAATTGTGCTGCAGTTTTCTAGCTTGGTGTAGCCAACAGCTTGCTTTAAAATTTGCCAGAAGGTCAATCTCACTTTGTACCTTCTACTTTGGATGAAAGTTTGCTGCAGACCACGCAATAAGTCATTTTATTTTCTTTGCAAAGACTATGGCCATCTGAAGTTTCACTCATAAACCTATAAAGGACTCCTCAAAAACTAACTCTCTCTCTTTCTCTCTTTCTCTTTCTCTCTGTGTGTTCTGTGTGGGTTTGTGCGGGGGTGGTTCTAAGTCTAGAAAGACAAGTATTTTTCCCCCCAGGTTTAAACTTCTAATTCTTTACGGAAAATTTAACAGAAAAATTCAGCAAAATACGACAATAGGACAGTAGTTAACTGTGACACATAGGATCTTAAAAGTAAAAGAATTGTGCCCTAGGATATCTTACAGTATTTTCTTTTATTTATTTATTTTTTTTACCTTTAGGAGGAACATCATCAAGGCAGAAAGGCTTCCTAGGATGCATCCGCTCCTTACACTTGAATGGGCAGACACTGGACCTGGAGGAGAGGGCAAAAGTCACATCTGGAGTCAGGCCAGGCTGCCCAGGTCATTGCAGCAGCTATGGCAGCAACTGCCACAATGGGGGGAAGTGTGTGGAGAAGCACAGTGGCTACCTCTGCGACTGCACCAATTCACCATATGAAGGACCCTTTTGTAAAAAAGGTATGGGTATTCATGGTCTCCCATGTGCAGGGTGATAGCAACCACCAGGACACATGGTGCCCCTCCTCATTGTGCTCTTTCACTTGATTTACTTCTGCTCGGAGGCTCTACATAGCTCCTCAACATAATTACATCTAAACATTTTCCTTATGAATGGACACTGTCGATGCAATTGAACTGAATGTGTAGTTACAGAAATACATGTTGTCTGTAGCTGGGGAGCCAGCTGAAGACCAGAAGACGTGGACTTTCATTGCTGGATTATAAGTAGCAGACTATTATTTACAGTTCTAATTCATCAGTGAACAATTGTAAGCAAAGGATCAGAGCATCTAGCTCTGTGGGAGCCTTTGAGATATTGAAGCCATCTTAAGTCATTTTTATAAAAAAAAAAAAAAAGAGTTAGGTAATTTTTTAAGACAGAGAGAATCTTTTAATATTTATTTTTCAGTTTTTGGTGGACACACATCTTTATTTTTTATTTTTTTATGTGGTTCTGAGGATCCAACCCAGCACCCCAGGCATGCCAGGCAAGCGCCTTACCGCTTGAACCACATCCCCAGCCCGAGTTAGGTAAATTAATAAAAACAATATCATATGCCCTGTGAAATCTCCCTTTTTTGCAAGTGATGAACATGGACATCTCATTAAAACACATCTTAAAAACCCTGTTTTGAGAACTCATGTTTTGCTCTTCTGGAATTGAAACGTAAAAGTCAAAATTCCTGCCCTGGGGCACTTTAAACATCACACCCAAATCTAATGAATTCATTATATCCACAAGTATATCATTATATGCTTGACGTACCCTTTTGGTGAAAGAGTGATATGGTGTGACTCCTCTAGATAAATTCTAGATAGCTTTAAAATATTGTAGAATCTTATTATTTGGGGTAAACACTCAGTATTTTTCAAACAAAGACAAAACCAAATATCAATCTTTGCAGTATTTTAAAGTTTATTTTATTGATGGAAAATTGTTTACTGAGCAAATAATGTAAATAGTATACCCAGGGTACCATTTAAACTATTAAACTGTGGGGCTGGGGATGTGGCTCAAGTGGCAGTGCGCTCACCTGGGATGCGTGCGGCCCAGGTTCAATCCTCAGCACCACATACAAACAAAGATGTTGTGTCCGCCAATAACTGAAAAATAAAAATATTTCTTTAAATAAATAAATAAAATATTAAAATGTTTTAATCACGGTACGGAACCGTTTACATAAAAATGATGATCATAATTATAAGTAATTTTGTCAGCTCATTAAAACACATCTTCCAAGTGTCTCTACCAATAATGCTTTTTGTAGTTCAACCTACTTTGGAACTTAAAAATGAAAGGAGAAACATAAAGCACCCAGTGTTTTCCTTGATATATTCTGTATTTTAAGCTCTCCAATCTTTCATTTTAGCCTTCTCCTCAATTTAGGTTGAATTACGTGCTTATTATTGCTGGTAAGCATGTAATACTCCTTGGGAAAAATTAATGGTACAAATTTTAGGGCCAAGAGTGTGTTGGGCCCTGCATGGGAGCTTGAAATATAACAAGTGCCATCTCAGTAGGTTCTTAATATGAGCTAAGGCAAGCAAAAATGCTACTAGGTTTCACACTGGGAGAGATCTCTAAGTTACATCCCCTGAAAAGTTTGGATGCCATTGTTAGAGTGGTTCCACATACTAAGAAGAACAAATGCAGAATAAACACTACCAGGCTTGGTCACTGAAGTGCAAAAGCACCATCTTACAGTGTCCCCATCCAAGGCTACTGTCTAGAAAAAAGCCAAATAGATTTCCCTGCATTTCTCCAGGGATGTGATTCCAACATGTGTCTTGTAGATCACATTGTTCTAGATTTATCTTTTTATTGTCACCTCCTTTGTCTGAGAGAATTCCTATTTAGTCTCATCTGGCCACGCCACTATATCTGTTGCCTACATATGCTAATTTTCTGTGCTCTTGCACCTTTACTTTGATCTGTAAATTAAATGGACAGATGTATGCTTAGCCTTTTCAGGGAGCCTCGGATTTCACTATTTCCAAATTTCCCCTCTCCATATTCAAAGGAAATAATCCCCTCTATGTTCAGTTATTGCAATGCATGGGACTTTTAACCATGCCAATTGACCCTGGGAAGTGTGGTGTGGAACTGAAATAGGAAGCCATCCGCTACAAGATGGTCGTGACCAAAATGCCCTTTCTACAGGGGTGTTCTTCCATTTCTTTTACTGAAGCACAGGGTATCCCAGGAAATAGTGAAAATATCTTGGGTGGAATTAGGGACATGTTCATTTCCAATCCTGGGCCAGAAACTCTATTGGCCCACTTTCTATTTCTTAGGGTAATATGGAGAAATGCAAGTCATAAAATTAACTGGATGTTAAGTGCAATATATATTCCTTATCCTTAAACCAATAAGACAGGCTTATTTAAAATCTGGATTTAACATATGAGAGCTTCACAGAGGTGTATTAATCCTCTTTCTGTACCTGGGACAAAATGCCTGAGATAATCACCTAAAAAGCAAGAAATGTTTATTCAGCTCAGAATTTCCAAGGTTTCCATTCATGGTCACATTGTCCTATTTCCTCTGAACTTGGGGTGGCATAGTACAGCATATCATGGCAGGTAGCACAGGGCAGCAGAAACTCTTCAACTCATGGCTGCCAGGAAGCAAAGAAAAATGAGAGAAAAATGCTGAAATCCTGATATCTCCTTCAAGGGCATGGCCCCAATTATCTAAATTCTTCCACTAGACCCCACCTCCTAAAAGTTGTGCCACCTCCATGGAACACCACAAGCTGGTGACCAAGCCATTTTCATGTAGGCCTTTGGCAGTCATTCGAGACCCCAAATCATAACAGAAGATTCGGTGACTTGCTAATATGTTCCAAAGCTGGAGATTCATACAGCATATTTTTTTATTTCTCTTTCTTGTTTCTGATTCTAATTTAATTCTGTATAGAACTATGGTAATAGGATTCCATCTCTCTGACTATGTGAGTTTTTGCTTTGTATGTATTTTTTTGTTTTGTCAATTATTAGATGATTATAATTCACATACCATAAAATCCATACTTTTAAGGTTTGCGATTCAGTGATTTTTTAACATTTTCACAGAGAGGCACACCATCATCACTATCTAATTCCAGAATGTTTTCATCATCCTTTCCAAAAAATTTTATGCCCTTTCACAATCACTTCCCATTCACCTCACCTGCCCGTCCCTGGAAACCACTAATCTGCTTTCTGTCTCTATGAATTTGCCCATTCTAGACTTTTCATATAAATGAAGTCACATAATTTTTGGCCTCTTTTAGTCTACTTTCTTTCACTTAATGCAATGTTGTTAAGGTGTATCCATGTTGTATCATTGTTTTAGCATTTTATTTCTCTTTATTCCAGAGAGTATTCCACAGTATAAATGTGCCATGTTTTGTTTCTCCATTTACCAGTTGAAGAATTTGGGAATGGTTACAATTCTTTGGCTAATATTAATAACTCTGCTATTAATATTAGAGTATATATTTTTGTATGGATGTATGTATTTTATTCTCTTGAGTGTACACTTAGAAATAAGGTAGTTGGATCCTGTTGTAACTATGTGTTTTATGTTTTGAGAATTTCTAAACTGGTTTTCAAAGAGGCAATTGGGCATTACATTCTTACCAGCAGTATGTATTTATGTGTGTATGTATATATATATATTCGAATTTTCCACATTCTTGCCTACTCTTGTTATTTCTTGACTTGTTGTAATAGACATCTACTGATTGTGATGTGGTATCACAATGGGTGTTGACTTGTGTTTCCCTAAGTATCAATCACATTGATCATCTTTTCATGGGTTTATTATCCATTTGTATAATTTTTTGGGGGAAATTTTTACTCAAATTCTTTGCCAATTTTTCATTTTTTCTTATACTATTCAGGTATACAGATTTTTTGTGTCTTCTGAATATAACATGTATATATAAAACATATATATATATATATATATATATATATATATATATATATTCACTTATTTTATCCCATTATTTGGGTTTACTTTTCATTTTATTTACATTGTCTTTTAAAGCACCAAGTTTTTAATTATGATAAAGCCCAGTTGATCAACTGTTTTTTCTATGCTTTTTAGTGTCATATCTGAGAAATCATTGTCTCATCCAAGGACATGAAAATTTGCATCTATAGTTTATTCTAAAATTTCTATAATTTCAGCTCTTAAATTTATGGCTTTGGTTCATTATGAGTTAATTGCGTGTGTGTGTGTGTGTGTGTGTGTGTGTGTGTGTGTGTGTGTATGTGTATTGTGAGGTAGGGATCCACCTTGATTCTCTGGCATGTTCATATCCACTTGCTCCCATATCATTTGTTGATATGTATTTGTCCTTAGCCCCCCACCACTTACCATTAATTGAATAATCTGGGTAAGACTGTCATGCTGATGTCATTCAAATATTTTTCCTAAATAAAATGTTAGATAATATATGTTAAAATTTATTTGGAAAACTAGAAAAGGTAAAACCCAATGTAATTACTATAATTAAAAAATGTTTCCTTCTAGTTCTTTTTTTTGCATTTAATAGAGCAGAGATAGTGCTACCCATTATATTTTACACCATGGATTTTATCTATTTTATTCCTATATATATCATAAATATCTGTAAGTATCAGTTTAAACGATTGCAATATATTCTATCTGGTGTAGTTGCCTTCTCTTATTTAATTCATTCCATCACCACAGCATTACAGCCCCCCAAATCATATTGGAACTCTGCCATGAGATCTAACTAAATTCAGACCCTGGCTTGCCTGCACCCTGCAGTATGTGATGCTGGTCATGTAACTGAACCTCAAGCTTTCTTAATTTCCTTCTCTACCAAGTATGGAAAATGCAGGAATCTTTCACAAATAGTGAGATTTAGCATCCAATGAGCCCTCCACAAAGCACTTGAGATAATTCCTGCAAAAAAAAAGTCACACTAAATGCTTGCAGTTCCTATTGTTTCAAAATTTGGGACCATCTGTTGAATTTTGAATCAGATTTTGTTTTAAATAATATTACAATAAACAAATGGATTAATTTTTCCTTAGCAATGGAATTTCAGTGAAAATGATAGCATATATATTTTATGTTCTTTTTACATAGTCTAAAACCCTGTTCAAGAATCCTTTAATATTTACATTTCTATCAATTTATATCATTTTGTTTTATTTTTTCTTGTGGAAAATGAAAACAAACTACAGTACAGTAAAGAATTTAAGAATCTCCATACACCCGTTTTCTAGTTTCAACAATGACCAACTCATTGATTTCATCAATATAAGCATCTCCTGTATTCCTCCCTTATTATTTTGAAGTAAATCTCAGATATAATATCATCGAATGTATAAATAATGCAGCGGGGATTCCTAGAAGATAATGATTCATTAAAATCACACGCATAAGGTCATTTTCATAAGGAAAAACTGTAATAGTAATTTTTAATATTATGAAATATATATTCCATGTGCACATTTCCAATTTACTTTTAGTATATTTATTTTTTTTCTAAATTAATGCAGCCTATGATTTCTAGGTATCCATTAGACTATACATTATCGTACACTGGTCTTTATTGTTCTCATTCTTAATTTAATTCTGTCACTATTATTAAGACTAGCTGCTGTTTATTGAATTAATCCTATGTGCTATGCTTTTCCACTCTGTCTTCTAAATCTTTCATCCAACCTATAACTGACTAAATACCCCCATCGGTCTCTAAGAAACTGGAGGTTGATTTGAATTCTGTGAAAGCTAGAAATAGACAAATCCAGAATCCAGTTCCAGATCAACCAAGATCCCTCCCTAGGGATATCCCTGTTTACTAGAACCTCCTCCGAGTTAATTTTCGACTTCAAGGTCCTATCAATGCTGAGCACCTCTTTCAGGTCTTAGGGTTCTCTGGACCTCAGGGGCATACAACTCTGAGAACCTTGGTTTCTGTCACTCAAACAAATTAACTCAAACCTTAGACTTATGTTCTGAAAGGGAGGGGAAAAAAGATCAATTTTTCCAATCCTCATAAGTATAAAGTTGGGACAAAACTCTGTAAAAACAGACTAACTAGAGATAAACAAGCAGATCAATTAGTCTTTGGAATTCATATCACAGAGAAGAAAATTTACTCAAAGCAGTGGTTCAGGGATCTGCCTTTAATAGTATTTCAAAAAAGAACAATAAATTTTAGAGAAGTGGCACAACACAGGAAAAGCAGTCCCAGGCTTCAGAAGTAAGAAAATAGGGAAGGCAAATTTATAGGAGGAAAGTGAGCCTGCAGATTCGGTTAGTGTCCATATCTTTGAACTGGTAATCAAGCAAGAATTTATCTCTCTCTCTTTAAGCTGGAGAGAAAAGGTTTTCAAAGAACTTTCATTTTTGTAATTTCCTGTTCTGCTTTTAGACAAATAGAAGGAATATAGTGAGTACCCTTGTATTTTATTTCCTTCAGATTTTTAGATAATACCTTCCAGTTTCCTTTATTTCCACTGGTATTTATTTGTTTAAATGCATGTCCTATTATCTCCAGACCTTAACACTATGACTTCATTTACCAAGTGGGTGTGCAGGGATGTTAGTATTGACATCACTGGTTGGAGTAGCACAATGATCACTGGCAGTCACCTTTGAATTAAATATTTTCTTCCATTTATCTCATTGTTTTGAATATCCAGAAACTCAATTTATTTGATCAAAAGCTGATTCTCATATTATAAAACATAAGAAGCAGAAAGAATAACAGAATCAGAATCGAGGTACATTATTAAATTTAGCTTTATGCTAAAATAGGCAATATCTAAACATTAAAAATAGTTAGAACTGGAGATAGGGGAAGAAAAATGACAGAAACTTGGCTTTACGTATCTAAATATGAAATGCTTTTCATTTCTAATTTCTTGTCCTAAATATGAAAAGACATAAGCCAATATATAATATATGTAATAGAATGCTTCGAATTAGACTTGTGAATATTTAAGCATATAGACAAACATCAAATAAAAGTCCTTCATTGTGTTAACTAGAAAACAGTAGCTCTAAATACATGATAAATGTCCCTTAGGAAGATTATTCAAGAAAAATACTTGGATCAAGCTGATGATTAGCCAAAATCTTCACTCTCACAAGTTATCTGATGCATATTTTTATAATCAGGAATACCAATATTGTAACTTGCTCAATTAATACAAAACATTTTCTATGAATCTTTAGTAGAAACAAACTAGTATTCTCAACCTGCTAAGCAATATGAATAAATATGCAACATTAATTTTTTGGCATGATTACACACTGGAACAGAGTTTTCACAAAGTGGAACAAATTTGTGAGTGAATTAGGAAGCAAATCCAGGTTGCATTATGTTCTAGGTGCTACAAACTCAATCAAAGAACTTTATGAGAAATTAGGAATATTCTGCATGTCATTTAGGATGAAGGGAAATTCATCATGTTAATAGTTAACACACGTTCACATTTGCTGTGCTGTTTCTATGACAGAGATGGCTACCAGATGTAAGATGTGTTACTCTACAAAGGAACTTTTCCTTCACACCCTGGTAAAGAGATGAAATTTTAAGTGAACTCAAGAGCAGCCTTGGTCTAAGCAGAATAAATATTTCAGCATTTGGATGAATGCATGGTAAATAAAATGGTGCATTGTATGATGGCAACAGGAATGAGTTCAGATTAAATTTTCTTCTAATGTGGAGTTCAAACTGTGCCAAGCAATGCTCTTAAGTGTGTAAAGCACTTAAGAGCATTGCTTGGCACAGTTTCATTAAAAATACTAATGAGGTAGGTGTTATGATTCCCATTTGCCAGAGGGAAAGTCTCCATAGGATTCAATACATTACCTAGGACCACAGAGCCTGCATGAAATCAAATCTAGTACTGATTCTTGCAGTGTTAGTTCTATGAACTAAAATGATGTAATGGAGTGGGAGCATTCTATAAGGAGCATTGAGTGATTTTCAGTTTTTTGCTAATTGAACTCTATTACTTTATAGACGCCACATTTTTCCATGGTGTTTGTTGGCAGAGCTTCATCCAATGTGCTGTGTTATAGGGTTTGGGTGCCTAACTCTGCTAGTTTTGGGAACTGAGTATCAATGCCTATAAGACTGATATCTATGTATTTGCTACTGTTTCAGAAAATTCCTTCTATACTGTTTCCCTTCATGCTCATGCTTGTCCCAACATTATAGACAATGGCATCTGCCCATCCCCCATGTCCTACTCTTTGTAATTGAATACCCATTCACATCCTGTAATCTTATACAGATAAATACACATAGGAGTTATTAAGCTCTCTATTTTGATTGTAATATGGTCCCAGCAAAATTTCTTTTTGCACTATGCTAAAGTCGAGGACATTTACATTTTGCTTCTAACAAAGTTAGCCTGGGATATGGTAGTCATTCTGCAAATGTATGTTGATCCAGACCTAAACTTTAGGAGGCAAATGTGAGCTTCCTTCTGGCTGTGCAACTTTATTCAACATTCTTAAACTCTGTGAGTCTCAGGTTTTCCATTTGTAAATAAGAATAATAATTTTTGCCACTTCAAAATTATTATGGGAAACATGTTACATAATACATTTAAAACCCTTCACATGGTGCCTGGTGTGTAGGAGACAATACACAAGCAACTATAACTATTCTGAATGCTTCACTGACTGTTTCAATGTGTGCTCCCTTTTTTTCTCTTTTACAGAGGTTTCTGCTGTTTTTGAGGCTGGAACATCAGTTACGTACATGTTTCAAGAACCCTACCCTGTCACCAAGAATACAAACCTCTCATCTTCAGCTATTTACACAGATGCGGCTCCATCCAAAGAGAACATTGCATTCAGTTTTGTGACAGCTCAGACACCCAGCCTCTTGCTCTTTCTCAATTCTTCTTCTCAGGACTTTCTGGCTATCTTGCTCTGCAAAAATGGTAAGTGTAGATGACATAAAGTCCAGTGGAGTGTCAGACTGGCCAGGAGGGACAGTGCATGTCCTCCAGAACGCTGCATAGTTTAACCTGAAGTTGGTCCCATTTGGGTAGCTTTTTTCAAGCCTGCCAGCCAAACTCTTGATTATACTTTACCTTTATGAGTTGCAATTGGTATTCAGGGCCAGTGTCAATTCACTGCTGAAGTCTCAAATGCATTGACTTTAATTTGCCTCAACTGTGTAGCAGTAATTCTTTATTATTTATTCTGTGCTGGAATCCATTAAGTGTAAAGGAGAAGATCATAAGCATATCTGAATTTCAGAAGGACACTTGCCACATATATCCTGTCATCTTTGCTGCAGTCCTTTTTACTGAGGGTTGTTAAAACACCTAGCAAAATGCAGGCTATATTAATAGATGTCAATTGTCCTGGTCTTAGAGAAAAGTACTATACATGAGTTATAACCTTGTGGAAGAGAGAATCTGCTTCTGAGAATCAGATTTTGGTTGGGGGGAGACAAACTTTTCTATATAGTTAAAGACTGTGCACACTGTAGCATTTTCTATCTTGAAACAGCAAAATTTGGGATATTTTATTTCAACAAAACAATAATACTATTTTTTTTATAAATAAACAATTTGTTATTTCTTTTCATTCTACAATTATTCCAACTTAATATGAAATTCACAAACACTTGCATGGCATTTTTTCCTGAAATTAAATAAATAGACCCAATTATTTTTGAAGGTTATATATAATATATTATCGTTTATGCTTCTGGACTGGTGATACGTTCAGTATCATTATATTTGAAAATAAGGCATTGTTTCTCCATTTGTAAGGTATCTTATAGAACCTAGGCTTTCATGATTAAATTATCCATTATTCATTTAAGAAAAAGGTTAGAATGTGGAAAGAATGTGGGCAAAATGGACTATGAGAAGATTAAGGTAATGAAAGGCCAGATTGTCTTCCACACAAGGTATGCTGAAGGTGGCCAGTTATTAAGGTTATTAGAAGTCAGGATTTCTTCTCATATATCCTCATTATACCTTGCAAGAATAAGGACTCTTGTTATCTCTGTGGCCAAGGACATTACAAAATTAGAACCCCATGGGGTTGGTATAATTGCTTGAACAGGTAAAATGGCCAAGACCTAGATATTCCTGTTATATGATCTCCAAAAACACTGTCCTGTAATCAAGAGCTTCCCTTTCCTTCTCTTGAAATCTGCAGGTATTATGACATGGGCTTTTGATCAGTTCTGCAGGACCCAAACTGGTATACTATAGGAAGGATTGTGGTGGCCCTCAGTAGAAGGAGAGTTCAAGGAATGAAGCACTTATATAGCCCTTTCTAGACCTTGGGAGAGATTCTCAATAATTTTCTTTATCTACATTTTATTGGGTTTATTGTTCTTTACTTCATCCTGCTTTTTGATGTCTAATGACTTACAACTTTCAAAGTAAGGAATGGTGTATTTGATTCTAATTGTAGGATCAAAATTGGGGAGCCTGTGGTTTGAATCAGGCCTGAAGTACAATGATAATAACAATGGCCCAGGTAATGCAAAAGGTTTTATTCATTGTATGAGTAACAGAGAAGAAGAGAGAGAGAAAGATAAAGAGGAGAAGAAGGAGTTGAAGGAGGGAGACAGGTCATTCCAAGTGCATCAGTCCTTGAGGAATCTACAGGAGAGAAAGGTTATTAAGTCTCCTATTTATTGGAAGACCTTTACATGATTGTCGTTAGTACCACTATATCAACATGCCAGGTCTTCCACTTTGCCTTATAATTCCTCTTGAGGTTGATAAGACTGGCTGAGGACACTGGGTGATGCAGAGGTCAAGCAGGTTAACCTATGCCAAACAGATGATTTATGACAACACTAGGATCGTAACCCAGATCTCCTGATAATCAGTCTAGAAATATTCCCTCTAAATCAATTCATCGTCTAATGATGTGGATGGAACATATTAAGATGGTTATGGCTGGGTGCAGTAGTGCACACCTGCAATCCCAGCAGCTTGAGAGGCAGAGACAGGAGGATCGTGAGTTGAAAGTCAACCTCAACAAAAAAATTTTAAAAAATGAGGCGCTAAGCAACTCAGTAAGACCCTGTCTCTAAATAATAAACAAAATAGGAGAATAGGACTGGGATGTGACTCAGTGGTTGATTGCCCCTGGGTTCATTACACAGTAACCCCTCTCCAAAAAAAAAAAAAAGATAGTTATGAATGGAGATTATCATGTTATGTGAAATAAGATTATCATATTATGTGAAATAATTTCACAATGGGTTTGGGGAGAAGGAAGAAGACAAGTTCATTGGATTAGACAAAGGAGAATGAAGGGAAGGGAGGGGTGGGAATAGGAAAGACAGTAGAATGAATTGGACATAATTTTCCTGTTCATGTCTGAATACATGACCAGTGAAACTCCACATCATGTACAACCACAAGAATAGAACATTATGTACAATATGTCAAAATACACTCAATCTCGTGTATATATAAAAAGAACAAATAAAATAAAGAGAATTGAAAAAAACAAAAGATGGTTATGGAGAAGTAAGATGCAGGATTCTCCCCAAAGCCTCTTTGGAGTGTAACTTCACAAGCACATGTATTGCTGTCAGGCCAGGACCATGAATATGACTGTCATGAATGCAGACAATGCATAACAAGACTGATGTTGTCTACTTAATTTAATTAACTCAGACTGTCCATGGTTCTCGAAGCAACTCTGTTTAATTGGTGATGTGGATATAACCTAAAAACCCAGTTTTCCATAGTTGGAGCTATTGAGGCACATAATCAAATAACTTCATTAAAATCTTTTAACAAGTAAGGGGCAGATTCAGGATTCAACCTCCCTTCCCCAGTCTCGTAGCATATTCTGTATTCTAAGTCATAAGAGCTAAATTTGTTTGTTTTTGTAGTGCTGGGGATTGAACTCAGGGTTGTGAATATATAGACAAGTTCTCTACCTCTGAGTTACAGCTCTCTCTGTAATAATTTTAAAAATAATTTATATATTTAATAGGGAAGGCATTCTTGAATTCTGCCATGTTCCTAGCCTCCTGTATCATCAGAAACTCGGCCTGACTCCATAGACATTTGTGTTTTTTTAAAACACTAGCTAAATTCAGGAAATAAGGAGACCTGTGCTTTGTTTGTTTTATGGTTAGGTCTCAGGGAAATTGTGAAAGCCCAAGGGCTAGTCCTTTTAGCTCAGGTTAAACCATAGGGATGGATGTCCACAACGTGGTTAGTAATAGGCAGCCCCATGTTGTTCCAGGCAACACTTCTGTGAATGCCTCGGAGAAGGACTAAGGCATATAGAATCCTGAGTATCACCTGTCATCTCCTTATGCCACAGAGATACAACCAAGATCCATGATCACTCATTCATTCTTCCATTAACTCTTAAGGTCAGTACTAGGTTCAACTATGTAGTATGAGAGACTGAAAAGACAGAAAAGATAAGCAAGATAGGGTGTTGTCTAGGTGATAAGGAAGAAGAGACACAGAAACTGCCTTAAAGTTTTAGAAAGGCAGCCTAGTGAGAAAAGGAAGTACCCAGATTTCTAAAGTAATCAGGGATTATAACAATGGGATCAAATAGTCAAGTGGTAGCCTTCTCATTGGAGTTTTCAGATAATAATTAAATGACTATTTGTTGGAGAAACTGTAATAATTCCAGCAGCAGAAGAGAGAAAAAAATAGCTGGAGTTTCCCCCCCCCATATCTTAGATTTTGTGATTATTTGTTTTCTGCTGGTGTAGTCTGACATGAATATTGCTTACTATTAATAATTCTTTTACAGACCTTGAAATGCTGGTTTGAGGAATTAAGAATTGATATCTTTACAACTTGTAAATATATCCATGATACCAAGTTTCTGACCAAATCACTTGTGAATCATATGTAGGGTGGGGGCACTGCATTATCAAGAGGTAGGAATATTTTCAATGTGCCTTTGATTCACTGCAGTAAAAAAATACATTACTGAAAATGCTATTGGAAATCAGGAATACCTTATGGGCGAAAAAGATAAGGAGAGAAAAAATAGTAAAAGGTTAACTAGGTAAGGTCTTTTATCTGTGAGAGTTTTTATAATAAGATTGAGTCATACCTAGCTGAGATGGAATTAAGGGACTTGTGCTCATGCAGGCTTCTTAACCTTTTTTTTTTTTTTGAATCTAAAACACTTTTGGGAATCTGGTGGAATTATGAGGGAAGGGCCCTATTGAAGTGAGTCCTTTTTGCTTTCCCAGGAGGAAGCAAACATCCAGAACCATCTTATACAAAATAGCTTTAATTCCAGTACCGTAGGTTAAGAAGCCAGGGTGGGGAGTTAGTTGGATAAATTGTGCAAATACTGAATTATCAGCTTGCAAACTTATTTCATAAAATTCTGCAGGCCAGAGGAAAGATCAATGTGATTCAAAGTCATGCTTACAAGTCTTGCCCTGGCAAGGGTTTGATTTGGCTGGTTTGGAATTCTTCTTTGCCCTTTATCATTATTCTTGAAATTTCTCCAAACATGGATTTATTTGGATTTAAGCTGCTGCTGTCTTTTTAAGTGAAAACAGGTTCTTCTTCCTAAATGAAGAAAAGGATTTTAATTTGTGGGTAGAAGAGTGGAGGCAGAAACAGAGGCATTTTGAGGTCAGGTAGTTCTCAGGAGAGAGAGGGCAATTAGAGCTCCATATTCTGGGGCTTTGAGTCATAGGCAACTTCTCAGAGACTTGGCAATTAGAAGAGAAGGGTCTTTCAAATGAGGAAAGCTTCTAGAGAGGGAGCTGAGAGTGTTTTAAAGCTACACTTGACCTTCACATCACTCTGCTGAGGGATGGCTCTGCCTTCTCTACAGTCCTG